GATGAACGCGTATGCCCGAGGAGGACAGCATGGTAAGTTGCCTCAGCTGTTGAAGGAGATGTTGGCTCTTAATCTAAAACCTGATTCCATAACATACTCCACGATGATCTACGCATATGTTCGTGTCCGAGACTTCAGGAGGGCGTTCTTTTACCACAAAATGATGGTGAAGAACGGCCAAGTCCCTGATGCGAGGTCATATGAGAAACTCAGGGCGATTCTCGAAGAGAAGGCCAAGACCAAGAACAGAAAGGATCGGAGCGCGATACTCGGAATTATCAACAGCAAATTCGGTCGGGTAAAAGCTAAGAAGAAGGGGAAGAAGGACGAGTTCTGGAAGGACAGGAGGAACAGACCTAGAGCTCTCAACTTTTCTCGTAAAACCGAGACGAATCATCGATCTTGAAGATCTTTCTTCATCGATGACCCGCAAACCGCGAACGTACAGGTCGTTCTCTCGTCGGTTTTACTGGTTTTGACACCCGAAAACTCGTTCGATCTTCTGCTGAGATGGAAGCAGGGAAAAACCGCTGAGTTGTGGTTGCCAGGGTTTTGCCTGTATGTAACTTCTGTTGGCTTGGATCTGTTCCAAGATGTTCATGTTAAATTGTACGTAATTTTAAAAAGCGATATCATTAAGATTTTGAAATTTGTATTTTATTGAAAAGGTTTTAAGTGGGCCATTATAAAAAATACTATATATTTGCTATTTTAATTTTAATCCATATCTATTTTCTACTATATTCATATGACCAAAATGATAATATAGTCATAATATGATCAAATAATAGTTAAATTGGTTTTAACGTTAAAATTATATTTATCGCATCAATTCATCATAATCACATCTTCTATATCACGTTAATCACGTGATTAAATCATTATAAAATTAACGTTAAACTATCATGTAATCATATTATCATTTATATTATCATTTTCAGAACAATGATAGAATAGAATCAACTGAAATCAAAATAAAAATTTTGATAGAATGTGGTTTTAAATAGACATATTTGTCTTTTCTAAAATTTCACCAATTCATCATCACTATTTATAATAATATTACAAAACATTTACCTACTCTTTACAATTTACAATTTTGATCAAGTTATCAAGTTCAATTTTATATTAAAATATTATAGTTATCTTAAATTACATTTTTTTTAAATGTCAAATGCAACTCAAAAATTACAGTATCATATTTATTACGAATTATTACAAACAAACAAACATAAAGTTAGAAATCCGATTTTTATGGCGTGTGATGAATATTAGATGATTTCATGGTGTCTAAAAGCATACATATATTTTTTTTTATAAAATGTGATTGAATTAATACCAAAGAAAAACAAATGTCATAATATTTACAAATTAGAAATAACTCTAAACAGAAATCTCATTCTCATGAACAGATGGGTAAAATTACATTCTCCTAGATGAAGTAATACGATATCACTGCTGTAATAGTTTGTTTTCTATCGCGTCCGGATTGTGGAGAGAGATTATCTTGTTCATCATAGTTCGGTCGACCTTGAGTCTTGTCTGGTGGATAGTAAGGTGTCTGTTTTTATGAATGCGAGAGTTACTTTCCATTCAAATGGTGTATGTGATAGCTTGTGTGAGTAACTTCTTCATCGTAATCTCGGCTCGGTTCGTAGATTGGTTGGTCCAATCCAAAAAATATCGGATATGTGTCGGAGGGGGGTCTTCCATTAACCGTCCAAAATGTAACCAAATCGAACGACTAAATGTGCAACCAAAGAACAAGTGGGGATGTGATTCCAAATTGGCGCAATATAGAATGCACCGATTTGGAGCTTGGATTCCCCACGTCTAAAAGCATATAATTAGGATGTGAAGAGAATAGATCAAGAAAACACGTTCAAAAATCAATTCATATAAAAATCGTTGATATAAAAATTTCATTACAAAAATTCTAATACTCCCTCAAATCTCGTTTCTATTTTTTTTTCTGTATTTAGATTTGGTTCGGACCTATCCGTGACAAACATTATATCTGCAGGGTGCACACAAGTTATATTATTCCGTATTCATAGTATCATAAAAATTAAAATTAAGCTTAATTTGTAAATTAATTCATATAAATAATAAAATTAATATTAATTTCATGTGTTTTAGATAAAACTGAACCAATATCATCTTTTTTTTGCTATTATTATTATATTCGATAAAACTAAATAAAAATAATTTTTAAAGCTAAAATAGTGGAATTCAATTCAATATAATATTAAAAAATAAAAAATTTACAAATTAAACTTAAAAAATAAAACAAGCGAACGGAATCTGAAATCCCTAATCAGTATACAAACCCTAAGCATCACCGTCATAGAGACAACGCCACGTGGCGATCACACCTAATGAAAAAGGAGAACCTCTGAAGACGACGTTCCTCTATCTCGTAACCGAAGCAGCCTCCCTTTCTAAAGAAAGCTCTCATTTTCCATTCCCTTTCTTCGTTTCCATTTTTTGCTGCGTGTTCTCAGTAAAATCCCATTCTTCTCCCAAATCGCGCCTCTACCCAGAAATCCTATACCTGTTTTGACATTTGGTTCTTCTCGGATCTGGGTTTCGATATCTCAGTTCTTACCTCGGATCTTTGTGACTGTTTTGCGTACGAGGGTCTGTTTTTCGTGGTGATTTCGAGTTCGGCCTGTCCTGTATTGGCTCTAGATCCGGGCCAAGAACGGGAAACATCATTCAGGATTTGGGTTATTCGGGCATTAAGCTTGCAGGTACTTGGAGTTTCAACCTTTCTCTGGTGCTTTTTGGCATTTGCAATTGGGTTTCTGAATAGATGGCGTGTTTGCGAATCATAGAGTGTACTTGTTTTATGGATTTTACTTTACGAATAGTTGTTGACCGTTTGCCTAGATCCTTGTAGTACTGTGTTTGATGTTCTCTTGTTTTTGTTGTTGGGTGTTTGGTTGCCGACAAGAAGGAAGAAAATGGATGATTTCAAATAGTATCTGGAAATTGTTATTTAGTTCTCTAATCAGAAATTTTCTCAGTATATCACAGAGGTGTCCTTGGTGAATAAATCTTGGTTTTGAAGGCTGCTATATAGTTCTGTAATAGTTTTGAAGGCTGTTATTGTCCTGTCTGATTAGGAGCCACTCCGATGTTGTGGTAATTCTTTCCTGAGACGATTAAATGTTCTAACGGTTTTCCAGCAATAGGTTATTGGCTAAGATGGCATCAAAGGAGGGGTTTTTGACAGACGGGCAGAGGGAAATGTTGAAACTTGCCTGCGAGAGTGCAGAGAATCTTCCACCTTCTCCGAAGCCTACCTCGTGTTTACGATCAGAGAATCTGCCGAAAGTATCTGGTTGTGGAAAGGCATCTGGTGGATCAAATGCTGTGAGACACCGTAGGTCTCACAGCGGGAAGTCTATCCGTGTAAAGAAGGGTGAGTTCGTTCGTGCATCGGTTCCGAATTTCCCTTCTAAGATTTGTGCCTCACATCTTTCTCTCAAAGATTAAAAAAAAAACTATAGATAGCATCATCTACATTCTTTGGGAAATTGATGAAGAGATTGTTGAAACCCTGAGAGTTTTTTTTCCCTTTTTCATTTTGGAAAGCGAGGTTGACTTTCTTCCTTTGGATTCACCCAATTCCTAGCTTCAATCTTTCTTTGACTTCCTTCCTTTGAAAGTGTGTGTTTCCTCGGTTTGCCTTGTCTTTCTTTTTTCTTAATCTGATAGGTTGGGGATCTATCCACTGTTCCCTCAGCAAACAGTCTCATCATACTTTTGATCATTTTTTCCTCAATGATCTGAAATTTCATTGATCTGTTGTTTGCATAATACTTGGTCTTCAACAAAACTGCATTCAAGTACTCGAACATCTTCTTCCTTGTTTTGTTTTCAATGCCATGTTCAATTTGCTCAAGAGAATATTGCATGAATAAGATGTGAGATTATTTGAGTCAATTATATTCTCTTACGGTGTCAGTTTGGATGTGAATGTTCAGCTGTTGACAATTTATGTTGAGTTAGTTTGTGTAAGCTTTATCTTATGACTCCAACTTTCTTCCCTTTGCTCTGTCGGATATTCGTGACTAATGTTCTTTAACCTCACTCATAGATGGGGCCGGTGGCAAGGGCACCTGGGGAAAACTTCTCGACACTGATGGAGTCTATCACATCGATCGGAATGATCCAAACTACGACAGTGGGGAGGTGATTGATGCATCTGTTTGCTGCTTGCATTTTTGTGACTAACTATAAGTAATCGAATAAGATTGTTATGTTTGATTATTTCATGCCTCAAGCGGAATTTTTCCTTTGTCGTTGATGTTTTACCTTATTTATGTCTTTCGAGCATTCTTTCTTATATGTCATGAAGCTCAGCTCTTCTTGTGGTTGATGTAATAGGAGGAACCATACGAGCTTGTTGGCGCAACTGTTTCCGACCCCTTGGACGATTACAAAAAAGCTGTGGCTTCCATCATTGAAGAATATTTCAGCACCGGTGATGTGGAGGTGGTAGCGTCTGATCTTGGAGAACTAGGTTCAAGTGAATATCATCCATACTTCATCAAGCGGCTCGTCTCAGTGGCTATGGATAGACATGACAAGGAGAAGGAAATGGCATCGGTCTTGCTTTCTGCATTGTATGCTGATGTCATCAATCCCGACCAGATCAGAGACGGGTTTGTCTTGCTTCTTGAGTCAGCTGATGACTTTGCAGTGGATATACCCGATACCGTTGATGTCCTAGCTCTGTTCCTTGCACGTGCTGTTGTGGATGACATCCTTCCACCAGCTTTCCTTCCTAGGGCAAGAAAGACACTTCCAGAATCTTCCAAAGGTTTCCAGGTTATCCAAACTGCGGGAAAAAGCTATCTGTCTGCTCCACACCATGCGGAACTGGTGGAAAGGAGATGGGGTGGTTCAACTCGGACCACTGTTGAGGAAGTCAAGAAAAAGATTGCTGAACTTTTGAGGGAATACGTGGACAATAAAGACACTTACGAGGCTTGCCGCTGCATTAGAGAGTTGGGTGTGTCTTTTTTCCATCATGAAGTTGTGAAGAAGGCTTTGATTACTGCCATGGAGATCCCTACAGCTGAACCACTTATATTTAAGCTGTTGAAGGAGGCAGCTAAAGAAAATCTGGTAAGTTCTAGTCAAATGGTGAAGGGGTTTTCTAGGCTAGGAGAAAGCCTTGACGATCTTGCTCTCGACATTCCATCTGCCAAAACCCTATTTGGTTCGATTGTGTCAAATGCTGTCTCCGAAGGTTGGCTTGATGCTTCGTTCAATGATCCCTCTGGTGAAGAAGGGCAAGTGCAGATTGAGAATGAGAAACTGAAGCGTTACAAGGAAGAGGTTGTGACCATGATTCATGAGTATTTCCTCTCTGATGACATTCCTGAACTCGTTCGTAATCTTGAGGATTTAGAGGCACCTGAGTACAACCCGGTTTTTCTCAAGAAGCTGATAACACTCGCCATGGACAGGAAGAACCGTGAGAAGGAAATGGCATCTGTTCTCCTCTCATCTCTTCACATTGAGATTTTCTCAACAGAAGACATCGTAAATGGTTTTGTCATGCTCCTGGAGTCTGCGGAAGACACGGCTCTGGACATTCTCGATGCTTCCAATGAACTTGCTCTGTTCTTGGCAAGAGCTGTGATCGATGATGTTTTAGCACCCTTGAACCTTGAAGAAATCTCTAGCAGATTACGACCCAACTCCTCTGGAACCGAGACAGTGAAGATGGCCCGGTCGCTTATCTTTGCCCGTCATGCGGGAGAGAGGCTTCTACGATGCTGGGGTGGTGGCACGGGGTGGGCAGTGGAAGATGCAAAGGACAAGATATGGAAGCTTCTGGAAGAGTACGAGAGTTCTGGCGTAGTCTCGGAGGCCTGCCAGTGCATTCGCGAGCTGGGTTTGCCGTTCTTCAACCACGAGGTGGTCAAGAAGGCACTTGTCATGGCCATGGAGAAGAAGAATGACCGGATGCTGGATCTTCTCCAGGAGAGCTTCAGCGAGGGCCTCATCACGACGAACCAGATGACCAAAGGATTCACCCGGGTGAAAGATGCCCTTGATGATCTGGCTCTCGATATCCCGAACGCAGAGGAGAAATTCAGTGTCTATGTGGGTCACGGCCAAAAGAACGGATGGCTCTCATCCTCGTTTGTACCTTCTTCCCTAACTTGAGGGCTCAGCTCTTGTGTCACCGAGCTCCCTATCCATGGCCGCTTCACCGTCCAGGGTTCTGCCTTTTTTTAGGGTTTGAGAAACTTGGAAAGGGAGCTGGATAACTTGGCGACTAATTCTCAGAATCAGTGTTATCGTTTTCTGTGTAACTGGAGACCGGTTCTGTTTGACGTTTGGATAGACTCATCCCCCCTCAAGCTTTATACTGCTGTGTGTTTGTGTTTGAACCTTGTTCTGTAATGTCTTTTTCATTAGATCAAGTAGCGAGTGGATGCCCCACGAAAAGGTTTTTGGAGTTTTTAAAATTTAAAAATTAAAAAAATTGACAATTGTTAAGAAACTAACAAAATAATGAATGTCTATATTTACTCTTCTTGTAACATTTTTTGTTATTTAATTCATAAAATGTTGTTTCACAATTTTTGTAAGTCTATAAATAGACGTGTAAACTATTTTCAAAACATACAAAAAACAAGTGAAAGAACACATACTCAGACGATTTCACTTAATCAGAGAAATCATCGACAGAGGAGACGTGAAGATAAGCAGAGTGTCGACAGATAATATTGCCGACCCGATGACGAAGCCTCTCACTTCGTCAAAACATGATGGTCATGTTAGGGGTATGGGGATTAGATGCTTGTAGGACTCATTAGATCAAGTAGCGAGTGGATGCCCCACGAAAAGGTTTTTGGAGTTTTTAAAATTTAAAAATTAAAAAAATTGACAATTGTTAAGAAACTAACAAAATAATGAATGTCTATATTTACTCTTCTTGTAACATTTTTTGTTATTTAATTCATAAAATGTTGTTTCACAATTTTTGTAAGTCTATAAATAGACATGTGTAAACTATTTTCAAAACATACAAAAAACAAGTGAAAGGAATAACAAAGAATAAAGATTCTCCCTCTTCATATATCTTTTTGCATTTTTTTATTATTTTTACAACACGTTATCAGCACGAAGCTTTTTCAAATTTTATCATGTCGAATCTGACCAACCTCGACTTTGAAATTATTGATATTACCGGCAAGAATTACTTGTCATGGGTGTTGGATGTAGAGATCCATTTGGAATCTAAAGGTCTCAAAGAGACAATTGTTGCATCGAATAAATCATCCAACCAAGATAAAGCAAAAGCAATGATATTTCTTCGCCACCATCTTCATGATGGATTGAAAATTGAGTACCTTACTCATAAAGATCCTGCAGATCTTTGGAAATCACTAAAAGAAAGATATGATCATCAAAAAAACTGTGATTCTCCCAAAAGCATGTTACGATTGGATGCATCTTCGCTTTCAGGATTTTAAATCTGTTAGTGAGTATAATTCGGCTATGTTTCGAATCAGTTCACAAAAGAAATTGTGCGGTGAAACTGTTACTGATTCAGATATGATGGAGAAAACATTATCCACATTTCATGCATCGAACGTGCTCCTGCAACAACAATATCGTGAAAAGGGTTTTACAAAATATGGAGAATTGATCTCTTGTCTCCTTGTTGCTGAGCAAAACAATGAATTATTAATGAAAAATCATGAGTCTCGTCCTACTGGCTCTGCTCCATTCCCAGAAGCGAATGTGATAGCATTCAATAATAATCGTGGTCGTGGTCGCGGTCGAAACTATGGACGTGGACGTGGACGAAGGAGAGGAAGAGGTTATTTTTCTGGTGGCCGAAGCAACTATAACAAGAGGGATAAAACCCAAGAAAGCTATGATGGTGGACTGAATAAAAGGGCAAAGGAAAGTATATGCCACCGATGCGAGATGAAGGGTCATTGGTCGCGGACCTGTCACACTCCCAAACATTTTGTTAATCTTTATCAAGAATCCTTGAAGACCAAAGAGAAAAACATTGAAACAAATTTCATTGCTGACGGTTCCAGTGATTTCACCGAAGGTCTTGATGATCTGATACATCTGGATGCAGCTGATTTCCTTATCAATCCTGAAGATGGAAATAATCAGAATTGATCAGAATATTTATGAAATATAAAATTTATCTTAAGTTTTTATTATTGTTATGAACTATGTTTTATTTTTAATGTTTTTTTAATATACTTATGCATTATATTATTTTTATTTTATTTTATTTTTCTTCTCTCTAGATCATGGATAAATATCATTCTGAACTCCAAGTTGAGGATATATGTCTTATAGACAGTGCGACAACGCACACTATTCTTAAAGATAAGAAATAATTGAGGGCTCTGGAAGAGCAAGTTTTATTATGCCAAATGGCACAAAACTCATGATCGAAAATGCATTATTTTCGCCTAAGTCTCAAAGAAATTTGTTAAGTTTTAAGGATATTTGTTCAAATGGATATCATATTGAGACAATGAGTAAAAGAAATATTGAATATCTTTGCATTACCTCAACTATGATGGGCAAAAGATATATGTTAGAAAAACTACCCGCGTTCTCATCTGGATTATATTATATAACTATGAGAATGAGTGAATCATATAATACAGTAAATTCAATATTTACTAACATTGTAAACCAGAAGTTTACAGATACATTTAAGGTTTGACATGACAGATTAGGCCATCCTGGTTCAACGATGATGCGAAAAATTATTAAGAATTCATGTGGTCATGTATTGAAAAACCAGAAGATTTTTCAATTCCACGAATTCTCTTGTGCTGCATGTTCCAAAGGAAAGTTGATAATAAGGCTCTCACCAACTAAGATAAGGAATGAATCGTTAACATTTTTGGAATGAATTCATGGTGATATATGTGGCCCAATTCATCCACCATGTGGACCATTTCGATATTTTATGGTTCTGATCGATGCATCAACTCGATGGTCACATGTGTGTTTGTTATCATCTCGTAATTTAGCTTTTGCAAGGTTACTTGCACAAATAATACGATTACGAGCACATTTTCCTAACTATCCAATAAAAACAATTCGACTCGATAATGATGGTGAGTTTACGTCCCAATCATTTATAACTTATTGTATGTCGGTTGGAATAAAAGTGGAACATCCTGTAGCTTATGTTCACACTCAAAATGGTCTAGCTGAATCATTTATAAAACGAATCCAATGGTTTGTGAGACCTATGCTTATAAAATCTAATCTCCCTATAGAGGCCTGGGGACATGCTGTTCTACATGCATCACAACTTATACGAATCAGACCAACAAGTTACAATGATATTTCTCCATTACAATTGGTTCATGGTCAGGAACCAAATATTTCCCATTTACGAATATTTGGATGTGCGGTATATATTCCAATTAGTCCACCACAACGCACAAAAATGGGACTCCAACGAAGGATGTAAATTTATGTTGGATATGAATCTCCATCTATAATCAAATATATTGAACCAATGACTGGAGATTTATTTACTGCAAGATTTGCAGATTGTCATTTTGACGAATCATTATTCCCAACATTAAGAGGGAATAATAAACAACTGGAAAATGAGATATCATGGAATGAATTATCATTAAAAGGTTTAGATCCTCGAACAAAAGATTGTGAACTAGAAGTTCAAAGGATAATTCATTTGCAAAGTATTGCAAATCAGCTGCCAAATGCATTTGCTGACGAGAGTAACAAAATCTCATATTCCAGCTGTGAATGCTCCTATTAGAATTGATGTATATGAAGAGCAACCTAGGATTGTTAGTGAGTCTAAGACACGCCTGAAGCGTGGTAGACCAATTGGTTCCAAAGATAAAAATTCTCGAAAAAGAAAAAGAGCAAACAATTATGATAATAACGAGGATATTTCTCCGGAAGAGACCGTTGACATAGTTAATAATGAAGAGAATCAGGTACCTACAATTAATGATAATGAAGAGATCTCGATTAACTACGTCACTACGGGAAAACGATGGGACCGAAACAATATAATTGTCGACAATATTTTCGTATATAATATAGCGCGCGATATCATAAACGAAAATGAGGATCATGAACCTACCTCTATAGAAGAGTGTAGAAATAGAAAGGATTGGCCAAAATGGAAAGAGGCAATCAAGTCTGAATTAGAGTCGTTTAAAAAATGAGATGTCTTTGGACCTGTAGTCCAAACACCGAAAGGCATTAAACCAGTAGATTATAAGTGGGTATTTATAAGGAAAAGAAATGAACAAAATAAAATTATCAGATATAAAGCACGACTTGTTGTACAAGGTTTTACCCAAATGTCTGGTATTGATTATGAAGAGACATATTCTCCTGTGGTGGATGCAATAACATTTCGATATTTAATATGTCTGACAGTACATGAAAGACTTGAAATGCGCCTCATGGATGTAGTCACAGCCTATTTATATGGATCATTAAATCATAATATTTATATGAAAATCCTTGAAGGATTTAAAGTGCCTGAAGCACATATTGATAATTTCCGGGAAATTTATTCAGTAAAGTTAAACAAAGCGTTGTATGGATTGAAACAATCAGGACGAATGTGGTATAATCGTTTGAGTGAAATTTTAACCAAAGAAGGTTATAATAATGATCCTATATGTCCATGCGTGTTCATAAAAACCATAGGATCTAAATTCGTCATAATTTCTGTTTATGTAGATGATTTAAATATCATCGGTTCTCCTGAAGAGTTATTACAAGTTGTGCAATGTTTAAAAAAGGAGTTTGAAATGAAAGACCTTGGAAAAACAAAATATTGTTTAGGTCTTCAAATTGAACATCTAACAGATATAGTTTTCTTACATCAATCTACTTACTTGGAAAAAGTACTTAAAAGATTTTATATGGATAAAGCTCATCCATTAAGTACTCCCATGGTAATAAGGTCATTAGATGTTAATAAAGATGTGTTTAGACCTCGTGATGAAAATGAAGAACTACTTGGCCCCGAAGTGCCATATCTTAGTGCTATTGGAGCATTAATGTATCTTGCTAATAATACACGTCCTGATATATCTTTTGCCGTAAGTTTGTTAGCAAGATATAGTTCTTCACCAACTCGAAGACATTGGAATGACGTGAAACATGTATTTAGATATCTTCGAGGGACCATGGATATGGGTTTATATTACTCCAACATGACCAAATCAGATTTAATTGGTTATGCAGATGCAGGATATTTATCAGATCCGCATAAAGTCCGATCTCAATCAGGATATGTATTCACTTATGGTGGAACTGCAATTTCATGGCGTTCTACAAAGCAAACTTTGGTTGCAACTTCAACTAATCACGCAGAAATATTGGCGATTTATGAGGCAAGCCGAGAATGTGTTTGGTTAAGATCGTTATCTCATCATATTCGGGGATCA